GCCCCAGGAGGAGTTTGCCATGGGGGAAATGAGACCCAGAGGGGCAAGGGGCTGCCCCGGGGTCAGCGCTGGGAGGCAGGACTGGCTCTGTGCTTACACTGGTATTCAGGTCACCCCCTTCTCCCCATGGTAGACACCTTCCCCCGGGCAAAGGCACTGGGGAAGCAGGCCCCAAGCTGGGTCTCGGGCCTCCCTCGCAGAGAAACCCACCGTGGTCGTGTCCCGTGGAGCTGGGCATGAATCCAGAGAAGCAGGGCTCAAGGCGGCACACGGGGAGGCTCTCTGCAACATCTGGCTTCAGGTTGGGACCTCCACGGACCGGGCGAAGCCCTGACACAGCCCATTCAACAAGGGGCACCCCGAAGTTGGCCCCTAGCTCCAGGGAGGAATCCAGGGCCACCCCTGGGGGCTCGGGAGCTTCCCCCACGGGACAACAGTGCAGGAGGGGCTGGAGCCTTCCCCTGGCCATGCACAACCCGTGTGTGGGGAAACCTTTGCCCTGGCTGCACAAACAGCTCAGCTGGAAGATAAAGCCCTCCGGAGCCGCTGACTCAGCCGGCTCCTGCCAGTCCCAGCGACACGCAGCGAGGGGCAGGAGGAAATGGAGGAGGGACGGGGGCAAGAGAGAGAGACCTGAGACCTGCCCATGTCGGGACGGCTAATTGAAGCCGGCTTCTCGCTGTCACCCGAGGTTCGAGCACTCCAATCACACCGCACTTCCTCTCCGGCGCCCAGCCTGCCAGGGTTACTAGAGTTCAGGGTGAAACCACAGCCCTGCAAGCCCAGGGCCTAATCCTGCCAGAGCTGGGGTGAAGGGCCACGGTGGTCAGGGTGCCCTGGACTTGTGCCCTTGTCTTGCTTCTTCATGCAGGGTGTTGAGAGATTATTGCACCCTGATTATTTTTCTGCAATTGCAGAAGGACTTTGGGGACCTGGGATTTCCCGGAGAGGCAGGGAGCTGGGAGCCGAGGCGGCAAAGGGTTGGTGGTGGAGCTGCTTTGACTCAGAGGTGAGGCTGTGCTCCAGGAAGGGAGGGTGAGGTTTAACTCCAATGCCTCCCCAGCAGTGGGGAGGAAGGACACTGGGGGAAGAGGCAACCCTCCCCACAGAGCCCCGCAGCCAAGCAGGGCAGTGCTGGTATTTGTGGGGGGAACAACACGAGGGGAGACCCCCTGACAGGTCCAACACCGCTTTTCTGCCCTGCCAGCCCTCCTGGGCGGTGCAGACGAGGGGCATCCACCCAACCCCTCTCTGCGGCTGCTTTATCAGCAGGTGACCGGCAGCTGTGGCCAGTGCGAGGCCAAACCAGAACATTGCTGGTACCCAGCAAGCCTGGAGCTGGCCTGGCCTGGCAGTGGACTTGGCTCCGATACAACCCGCTCTAGAGCTAGAGATGCCACATTTATCCCGGGACAAACCATTTTATCCCAGAACAGAGTGCAAAGATTTAGACATCCCTGTCTGTTGACCTGGGATAAATACTAAAAAGGTTCACGGGATAAGAAGGAAGAACAGTTTATCTCTGGACGGCGCCAAGTGCGTCTGAACGGTTATCCTGGGATTGCATCGCTGTATCAATGGCAGAGCGTTCAGATGCTCCCTAAACCCTGGTTACAGGGGCAATGTGTACACACCAATCCCGGGATGTTTCTGTTCCAGGACAAACACAGGCACAACTGGTCCAGAGACAAATGCAACAATTTCCTATTTTGCATGTTATACCCTGAGATTTACTTCCCAATGGGTCCGATGGACACACGGGAAGATGCTATTCAGTGACCCGAGCCAGGCCAGGTTCTTCTCAGAGCCGCGGGACGGGGCTACCCCCTGCTCCGACACACGGTAGCGGTCGGCACAGGCCCAAGGAGGAGCGCACGGTGTGCATGCCAGGGAAATGACAGGGCTTCCCTGAGACATGGGAAGTTGCATCACCTGGCTGGCACACCTCCCGCCCCGGGGAAGGAAGCACGGAGCGCGACCGGTCTGGGCAAGGCGTGGAAGAGATGTCGTGCTCCAGTGACCAGCGTTGATACCAGAGCTAACAGACACCCACTCGCGAAGCCTGGGATTGCCTAAAGGAGCAAGGGGCCCAAACCCAACCGACCTCCCAAGGGAGCTGGGCACCCACCTCCTTGAATCTCCTGCAGATGTCCCAGACCAGAGACACCAACCAAAGCCCTGTCTGGGGGTCCCCGCTCCTCCAGGGCACAAGCATCAAAACCAAACACCACCAGAAAGGAGCAAGACACGGGTAGCAGCCATACAGGCTCCTCCGCAGCAAGTGTCGGGCCCCGCCTGGCCCCCCACAAGCCCCTCCGAGACCCTCTCAGCCCCCTCCGCTGAAGGCAGCTTGTTCAGAACAAAACCCTCCAGGGTATGGACACAGCGAGGTCTGCTCGAGGGACCCCATCGCTGCAAGGCAAGCCCCCCCCCATTAAGTGCCCTGGTCCAGCAATGCTCTGGCTGGTTGCTCCTCGTCCCTTAAGAGACTTCCCTAAGAAACCAGCTTCATTTCATTTCCAGGCAGATGTACCCAAGTTGCCATCTCCTCCTCCCTGGGCTCCTTCCCTGCCGGCCGCCCCGAGCACTCACCGCAGTCCCAAGGCTCCCCATGACCGACGCGTCTCCCTTTGCGGCTCTGCCCCTCCATCCTCGGCTGCTTATAAAGCTCTCTCTGCCCGATGTCGCAAGCTGCCGCCCTGTGATGCAATGCACCTCGCAGGCTACGCCTCCCTCGGCAAAGGAGTCGGTGGCGAGTCAGAGGGACCAGACAGCTCTTCACAAGGAGAGCACTTGCATGGGGTGAAGCAAGATGCCTTCAAACGTATATTGTAAGTGCTGTCCTGCAGAACGGCACCCTCCTAACCCCCTTTCCTCTGCCCCGAGGTGCACCCCGACGCAACTCCCATTGCATGCGGTGCTGCAACCACGCAGCTTGGGGCGCTAGGCTCAGACGTGGTGCAATCAACCCTACCCTTGTTATACGCCAAAGGAGCCCCGCTGCCCTCCACGGGGTGAATCCCAGCTTCCGCCCATGGAAGAGGATCATGGCCTGTGCCCCCCGAGCCCCTTTATCCACCTGAAGACCCAACATCTTTTAGTAGCCAAAGGGCACACCCCAGATGCCACCTTTATAACCCTGGGAGGCGACTGCTAGAGCTGGGTTTTAGTCTTGGCCCAGAGAAGCTGGCTCATTTCAACGCAGGCGATGAACTTAATGGCCCAGTTGAGCCACACAGCCCTCCTACCGCGCTCCCCCCTTCCACAGACGGGGAAACACAGGCGTGGAGAAACCACTCTGATTTGCCTGAGACCACAAAGCACGGTGGTATAATGCCTCCCGCCACTCCTGCCCAGCTGGAGGGTGGAACCGTCCATTCTCCACCAAAAGCCCCTGTGCTGGCTCCCAGCGACAGGAGTCAATGGGCTAACTGGGCACAGGACGCCTGGTGCC